TTTCAACTTTAGCAATTTAAAGTTATGTGGATTCCAACTCCAAGAATCCTCAGGCCAGCAATGCTGGCTGGGGAATTCTGGGAGTTGAAGTCCACATATCTTAAAGTTGCTAAGGTTGAGAGACACTGGACTAGACTGATTCAACAGACTATTGCAACTTTTTTTTTTTTACTCCAGATGTTTTGCAACCTGGTGCCCTGAAGATGTTCTAGGACTGCAATTCTCAGAATACCCAGTCATGCTGGCAGGGAATTCTAGGAGGTATAGTATAAGATATTTGAAGAGCATCTAGTTGGAAGGGTAATTCTGAAGTTGAGATATATGAGATTTACAGCTCTACTTGGTATACAGTTGATTCAACAGGTTGTAGACAACAGTTCTAGTTTAACAGAAGTGTGTTCCTTTAAGTGTTCTTTTGTAAGAGATAGGCACATTTTAGTTGAATGACAGCCATAATCTAAAGGGCAACGGCTAATCAGTTGATTGGGTATTACTTTCCTGCCTGTCATCCATTGCTGGTAATTGTTTTGAGTTGCTAGTCATGTACATTTCCTTGATCACATCATCACATGCCGATTGCGAGAGCTTGCAATTAGGTGGATAAATTAATGCAGTCTGTCATTATGAGATGTTAGAGGTTTGGTCATACTGAAAAACGTGTGTCTGCAGTTAATAGGTTCCTGCAGAGAATGACAATCACTGACTATTTTGTCATGCTCATGGACTGTTCCATCCTTGTTCTTAGAGGACATCTAGTGCTTTATAAAAGGCACACCTTATGCTAAATTAGCATGTGTAGATCATGTATTTTAAAAGGCTGTCAGGAGTGGAAAGGTTTTGTTATATGAATATCTGTAAGTTATGCCCCAAAAGCCAAAGAATCTTGGACTCTATTCTGGGGAATCTATTTCTGCTTTGCAGTTGAAAGTGAGAAGGCCTTTTTAAAAAGAGTTCACTTAATATGCAATGAGTCTATTTAAAGCCAATTTTAAATATAAATGAAAAGTGTTATATCAGCAGGCAGCAGCACCTGATTGCCCTTGTTTGGACCGCAAAGCTAAGATCACCCCTAGTTAGTTCTTGGAGGAACACAGGAAATCCCAGGGTTGTAAACTCAACTGGGAAATTGAAAAAACTAATGGAAGGCAATAGTAAACCTTTTCCCTACTGTTCCATACATGTCCATGATATCACAGGTAGCAGAGCTTGACTTGTAGGAAACAGCTATTTCCAATATTTTTCAGTTAAATGTCTTCAAGGAAAGCAAAGCCAAGCCTGTCTCTTTACAGCTTGAGTTTCTTGTGCGGCTTCATACATGTATAATTGGGCCTGACATGTTGCTGTATTTTATATTTTAAGAAATCTACTAATACTGGGGATCTGTCTTTGTATTAGATGAAACAGAGAAAGCTATCTATTTTAAGATAGTAGTTTAAATTACCAAATGCCACATGAAATTAGTATTTTAAGATATTAAAATACTGAGAGCTAGAGATTTGGGCTATTTATTAAATCATTAATATGTAACATATTAATGTACTGTATTTTCTCTCTCAAGATACGGATTTGAGTTTGGATTTCAAGTTTCTTTTCCGTTTTTACTAACACAAGTTTTATTTAAATTATTTTATAATCTTAGCTTGCAAACAACTTGGTGAACTTGGTAATTCTTTTAGCTGTTTTTAAGAAATCTAAAGAATGTATTCTTAATTGCATATGGGTCAGACTTGCTTTCTTTTTATTCAATCATCTTGTATTTGCTTCTTTGCAAGCATGAGGGCAGGAGATGATTATGGTTATACTTGGAAGAAACATACTCACACAATATATAATACCTGAATATTAATAGTATCATTTAAGCATAGTCTGAAGACAAATGAAGCAGTGATCTTACAGAAACTAAACAGGTTTGTATCTGGTCCAATACGAATGGGAGATTAGCAGGGAATTCTCATGTATGCTACTTCTGAGTTCTATGGTGAAACACTAGCTACAAACACCACTTACCTTCATTTTGGTATTTTTATGCTTGATAAAATATCCTAAGTTTTGTTATAATTGTATGTGACTTTACTTTAAAATAATAATTCTGATAGAAAATCACTGACTTAAGGTTTCTCTGAGGGTCATGACTGAGGATCACAAGTAAACTGGGAGGGAATCATACATGTAGGGGGTCTTGAACATGCAGGGCAGAATTGGTGCCAGAGCTCATTTTCCAGACTGTTTATATCAAGTGGGACTGTGGTCTTACAGGGCTTGGATATGGCCTTCCAGGGATCCAGCCTTGGGCATCTGTGGCATGCGCACTTCAGCCTGGATCACTTCTGGGCATGGTGGATGAAAGGATTGGAGCAGTTTTGTAACACAGGGGTGAGATGAGAGTGGCTGCCTCTAAGGTGGGGCCTGGAGTTCAAGAGTTGTGGGGGAGGCAACAAGTGGGCTTATCCCTCCCAATGAGTACAATTTCGAATTTTGTTATTTGTTTCCAATAAATTCATTGTTTTGTGAGGTTGAAGGTTTCTATAATTGTTTTGTTTGGTAGGTAGACTGGAATTTGATCAGTGAGGGTGGTGGTGTGCTATTTCTTACTTAGCCCAATATAAACATTGTTTGTGGGGGCAGGGAAGTAATCACACAGCTCGATCTGTCATTTGATAGGGTTGCAGCACTGCACAAGTTTGAAGAACTTTCACCCTAAATGATTTACAGGCCTTTATATACCTATAATTTGAACCTACACTGTAATATTGATAGCAAGTAATGAAATATTTTGCTTTTAATGATGTACATGTTTACACTTTAGGTTTAAATAAGCATCCATCAATAAAAAAGAAGCCAGGTTATTGTTTGACAAGTTTATGCACAATATCAAGGATTAGAAATAGGATTGCAATACACCTTCTTAAACTAAGTGGGACATGTGCACAAATGTTAGTTTCTTCAGGTTTCTATATGAAACCCACTTGCAGAGTTGACATTATTTAAGTGGATACAGAAATGTCTTTTAAAAAATCACTTATATTTTGTACTTAAAGAGGGTACCACCAGTATTTATTTACAGTACTTTTACCCCCTTTTCCACAAGGACCCATGGTGGCTTTTAAAATATTCTAATTGTACTGTTTTTATAATTAGATTAAACCTCAAACAATTTTAGTTCAGATTTTTATTCAATAGCTTACTGTCAGGGATGAAGCAAAGCAAGAGCAGCATTTAAAGGCAAATTAAAATATATGTGGGCAGTTAGGAAAACTGTTAGAATGTGTAGTGTGAACCAACTCTATGCATCATCATGAAACTTTATTACAAGTAAACAGCAATTTATAAGCACAATCAGTCCATTTAGTCTGAAAAATAAGTTTATTTTAAAACCAGTTGCATTGGGTGATATCCTATTTGGCAAAACCAGTTAGAGCAGAATTCCTCTTTAAAGTGTGTACTTTCTGTCCAGAGTTCAGGCAATAGAACAGCATCACACTAACAACAAGGAGTGCACTCCACAGGGGCCCCCATCTAAAATCTCAGCTTTGAGACGGTTCCACTCACAAATAAACCTACATGTTTTTTAAATTCCCTTTGTAGTATTTATGCATGAAAGTCACAGCTACACATAAAATGACAGATAAAAATAATCTTCCTGTATGTTTGACAGAATATCTACATTTCCATCTGAGTTCCCAGACTGCAGGTTCAACAGATGGAGGTGATTTTGTTTAGTTTAACGAAGGCCTCTGAACAAGAAGCGTGAAGAAGCATTGTTCTCTGGACCCCAAGCTCAGGTTTCTTTGCAGAGGGGTCTGAACTGAAGAGAAAGGAAGGATCTGATGGCTTCATTATCCACATACCCTTATCTTCCTTCCTTCCTTTTTTTTTTAAAAAAAACAGCTTCTCTGTACAAAAGGGATAAATACACAAAATCCCAAATCCATCAAAAGAACAAAAATATTGCAGAGCTTTCAGACAGGCATACAATTCATGCATGATGCCTGCATTATATAAATCTCAGGAAATATTTTAAAAATAGGATCTTGGATATTCAGAATACCTGATGAACAGAAAATACTTGAACTGATGCCTCCCACTTATCCTTATGTAGGGAAACATTTCTTGAATTCATGAATATAGAGAAATGAGTTTTTCTTTAGGCACACACCAGTTAATATATGAACTGATCTTTAAAGCCAGAGATGGAAGGTCAAAGAAAGGTGCATATTTATCAGTTCCCTTTCCTCTCAAAAGTGCCCAAAACATCAACCGTAAATTGAACAAAATTAGATGGGTGCTAAATGGTTCTAACTCTGATAATTGAATACATTAATTTATTGGCTGAGTTGCCTCCTCCAAAATAATATAAGCAAGCCTACATGTTTGCACAACTACAACATGCAAAAACCCACATTTCATCTTAAGATGGTATACAAAACAGGCAGCATAGCAGAGCTAAGACATCTCAGAGTTGGGCAGAGAAATAAGAAAGAGAAATGCAAACTGCTTCATGAGGGATGGCTGGAATCCTGGTTATATGTAGTCAGGCAAGGATACCTAGGTGTTCTGAGGCCTGCACTCCAAAAAGCCACAACCTCCAAATTCCACTGTTGAGACCATTAACCCAGACTCAGTTTTGCCCTCAGTCATTTAAGGCAGTGTTTCTCAATCTCAGCAACTTTAAGATGTGTAGACTTCAACTCCCAGAATTCCCCAGCTAGCATGGGCTGGCTAGGAAATTCTGGAAGTTGAAGGCCACACATCTTAAAGCTGCTGAGGTTGAGAAACACTGATTTAAGGCACAAACTTTTTTTTTTTAACCTGTTTCATATTAAAGATAGCCGGACATTCAGGAGTCAGCTTTTCTGCTGTTATAAAAGCGGGGAGACACTCTGAGTGTAAGCAACTGAAATAAATCCTTTACTCCCTCATCTTGGAAAGCAGGGAGCACAGTTCAAGTAATAGTTCAGTTTCCATTTTCTAAGTCTTTTCTTGATAGAAGAGCCATTTAATGGCAACAATTTCTACTGAGCATCTGAAATCTCAGCTTCCCTGCATACTATCTGCCTAGACCTAGAGCAATGAAAGCTGATTATCAGCAGTAAAGGCGAAAAAGCAATCAAACAGGTCTTTAGAAATATGTCCCAGACTGTGTACAAAAATACAAGAGAACATGCAATTTTATACAGGTTCTGTATAAATACTCCCCTCTGAATCTTTCTTTTCCTTCCTTTTCATTCAACACATTCACACATATACATACACACACACACACACACACACACATTCTCCCCCGAGGAGAATCTTCATGGCAAGAGGCACTTGAACAGTATGTGGAGAATTCCTATGAAAAAGATGTTCCCCTCACAGTGATATGGGACAAAGAGAAACAGATTCTCAGGATTCCATTTCCTCCTGGTCAAGTGGTGGTGGCACAAAGCTGACCACTTCATCATAGGTCAGGCCTGGTGGAGAAAGAGAGACAAGAGCTTTCAGTAGCTCAGAGATAACTGCTCCCCACCCCAATATCCCAGATAGAGAAGAAATGATTCAAAAGTTATTTCAATCCTGTGAGATAACAACAGCTGTTCATTAGAATAGGATGCTGATGTTTCCAGACTAAAGGCCACATCCAACACTGCCTGAGCAGACCTCTCTTCGTTCTTGGCCTTTCCCTAATCTTAACAGTTTGGAGAATGGATTAAGAATCCTTTCTCCTGACAGAATATCACTATTTTTTTTAAGTGTGTAGAGTTGCAGAATTACAAGTCAGACTCAAATTTACTTTTCGGAGGTAAATGGCAAAGTACGTAGATAACAGCAGGTATGCTCCAGTTCTCTTGGAACTAGATGCCCCCCAAATTCTAATTCAGACATTCAGTGCAGACATGTGAGTAGGAAAATATATATAGGGATCTGGGTGTACACAGCAGCCACATTCCAACTGCCTTTGTGCAAACTGTCTTAGACCCTTCTGACCTATGAGTATTGTATTTATCCCAAAGGAAAATTAGTTAGAAATGAACTGCCTAACTTCCCTATCTTCTCAACAGCATTGCCAACTCCCACCGAAACCACTCACAAGGGGGGGGGGGGAATCTGCCAACAAATATGTGGCTCTGACCCAAATTCGTGTATATGTACTGGGCAATTATAAAATTGTAAAAATTTTTACAAAATTGTAAAAATTGTAAATTGTAAAAATCTCCATTAGGCAAGTATAAACCTATGCATACTTAATTTGCAGCAAGAAGGTAGAAATTGGGGGAAAGCTTCTTGAAATACTGACTCTTTCTCTCTCTCCTATTTGATAAAGAAAACTCACTGACAGAGAAGCATTTATGTTGGGTTGCCAGCACAAAGAACTTGATGCATGCTTACTCTGTATTATGTCCCACTGATTCAATATCTCTTACTTCCAGCCAGCATGCTCAGGATCTTACAAGTACGCAGCAAGTGCCTACAACTGGGGCCCTCTCTATCCATGAAGACTCTCCTTTCATGGGAAATTCTGATTTTCCTGGGTCCTCAATTTGCATGGAGAGCCTCCATGGACTAGAGAGGCCCTTTACTGGAATCACTCAGCCTCTACAATGGAGGTTCCCTAATTGATAGCAGTAACTCCACCCTCTCCTGCCTCAGCTTCAGCTTCCTGCCCATTTGCTTGCTTTCAACAGCTTGTTTCTCTCTTATCATATTCTCAGCAGGAGGAGGAAGACAAAGCTAGCGTGCTTGT